GCCGTTGGCGGTGCCGTGTCGGGCGGCGCTGGGGGGCACGGCGGCGCCGGCGCCGCGGACGTGCTGGCGGGCCTGCAGCACGTACCGCTCCTCTGGATCCAGTACCGCATCGTACTGCTCCTCATCGGAGCCGCCCTCCAGCCCCACGTCGTACTGCCGCGGCCGCAGCGAGCCCGTGGCGGCGCGCGTGACGTGGCGCCGCCCGTCGCTGCCGCCGCCGCGCCGGCCGGGCGGCGCGCCGCCGCTGGCGGTGCGCGCCATCGAGGCGGTGCGGGGCGACAGCACGCCGCTGCCGCCGGTGCGCGCCACTTTGGCGGTGTGCAGGCTGCGCAGCAGCGCCTCCTCCTCCTCCTCGCTGTCGGCGTACCGCGCGCGCCGCCCGCTGCCAGGCTCCTCCTCATCCTCCTCATCCTCCTCCCCCTCGCCCTCAGAGTCGTCCTTGAGCGCCAGCCCAGCCAGCGCCCGCAGCCGCTTGTTGGACGCCGGGTCGGAGCCCTTGCCGGGAAGCCGCTTCTTCAGGTGGCCTGCAGGCGGGCGGGGCAAGGCTCAAGGCACGGGTGGGCAAGGCGCCGACAAACGCGCCGCCCCGGCGCAAGCCCCCCAACGCACATCTCGCGGCACATCGCCCGCGCTTGGCCGGCAGCCCGCGGGCCGCCGCTGCTCCTGCCTCCTCCATTCGCCCGCCCGCCCGCCGCCCGCCCACCATTCCAGTAGTTTTTTATGGCATTGTCGGTGCGGCCCGGCAGGAACTTGGCGATCTGGGCCCACTTGTTGCCCAGCTCGGCGTGCTTGGCCACAATCATCTCCTCCTGCAGCCAGGGGGCGGCCAGGCCAGGCGGCGCACGTGGGCACAGGCGCAGGGGCGCGGCGCAGGCCCGGCCGCTGCCAGCGAGGCAGAAGATGGGATGGAGCAGGGGGGCGGGCAGCAATGCAAGCCCGGGGGCAGGCGGCGGCTGCCAGCGGCCCCACAGGCTCCCCCACCACCCCTCCCCTTAGGCAGGCAGCTCCCTCCCCTCCACCCCGCATGACAGGCACTCCCTCCCCCTCACCTCCTCGGGAGTGAAGGGCTCCTTCTTGAGCGACGGGTCCAGCTGGTTGAACCAGCGCAGCCGGCAGCTCTTGCCATTGCGCCCGCTGCCCAGGCTCTGCAGCAGCAGTGGCGGCAGGGACGGGGATAGCGCTCAGCACGGCAGCTTAAGCAGGCGCGCGCGCTGCAACAAGACAGCTGGGGGCTGGAGCAGCAATGGAGCGAACGGGGCGGCGCTTGTGGGGATTTCGCGCGGGGGCGGTGGGCGAGGCGAGCGCACCCAGCGAGCAACCGCCCGCTGCGCCCACACGGCCACCCACCTTTGCAATCAGGCTCCAGTTTTGAGGGCCATATGTCTGCAGCAGCGAACGACAGGCAAGGCGGGGTGGTGAGAGGTGTGCAGGCTGGGGGCCCCGCCCACGTTGACCCTTAACCGCCTCCCACAGCTGGCCACCCGCCGCCGCCGCTGCCGCTGCCGGGGCAGCGCCCCGCACCTGTACCAGCTGCACCAGCTTCACATCTTCCTGCATAAGGAGGCGGGGAGGGGAGGGGATGGTTGGAGGGCTGGAAGGCAGGTGGCAGGGCTTGCCCTGGGTGATGGGTCGACGGCGCCCCGCAGCATGGCGGGTGGGCACCAGCCCTCCACCCACCCCTCGCCCCAGCGGGTTTGCCGCGGTCGCCGCCCCCAAAAATAGAAAATAATCGGCCCGGTGCGCTGGGCAGGAGAAGGGCAGGCTGTGGGCAAGGGCTGGGAGACCGCTGGCACGGGGGCCGCCTCGCATGCCGTCGAGCCAACCCGCCCCCGGGCGCCACCATTCGGCGCGGACAGGAGGTGACGGTGGGCCTGGCGGGGTGCCGGGGCCCTCGAGACAGCGAGCAGCAAATCTACCCCAGGGGCGGAGGGGCCGCCCCTCCAAGCCCTTCCCTGCCACTGTCGCCTCCAAACCACCCGGACAGTGGTGCTAGGTGTCTGGAAGGCGACAGGTCTGGGCGCGGCAGCCGCCAGCGGCGATCTGGGGGCCCCCGTGCATGGCGGGCATGGCCACAACCGCCTGCCAACTGTGGCTGCGCCCCAGGCCGTGCGGCCGCACCACACACTCCTGGAGCACACCAGGAGGGGCAGGCAGATGCCCAGGGGCCCGCAGGCGCCCCACCCACCTCTGGCGTCCAACACGACCGCCGGACCTCGCTCCCAAAGTCGTCCCCAGAGTCGTAGCCCGAAGTCGAGCGACCCATCTCGGCCCCCGGTGTGTTTCAGGTGGGAGAGGCCTGCAGATGGCATTCATCCGCATGGGAGGCCTGCCAGGCTGGAGGGGGTCGGGACATTCCCGGGGGAACAGCCCACAGGAGCGCGACCCACACCCCGCTTAGGCCCCAGAAGCACCCATACGAGTGGTGGAGGGCGGAACCGGGGCCTGCACGCCAGGCGGGCTGGTGGGTGGGGGTGGCGCCGGCGGGTGGGCAGCCCTGCCCTGGCAGGGATGGCCCGTGGCAGCACACACTGCCTGGACGAACCCACATCCCACAAGCCCTTGAATGCAGCACAGGGTAGCTGCTGCCCTGCACTGGGCCGCCCAGCTGGTGACACAGGCAGCGGGAGGGCCGCAAGCCGCCACCGCCGGGGATGCCGGCAGTTGGCACGGGACGCGCCCAGCCCTCCTCACCGAGCACCTCTCCCATCCTGGCAGGCCTGGCCTGACGTGGTAAATGCA